TCAGAAGCCCTTGTGAGTGTCCCTAGCACACATCAGAAAGACATTTCAAATACTGTCCAAAATTTTGACTGTTTTGCTTGACTGAAATATTCTTGATGTGTCGTATTTTAACTCAATACTTTTCTTTAATTTACCACTAATACAAAAGTATAAATTATAACATAGAAAGTAAGATTACAATTTTTTTCAGGGTATTTAAAGCACTCAGTTGCAATAAGTAGCAACTAGTTGTTATAAACACGGAAAGGTGATAAAGTTCTTAGAGCTGCAGCCAACAGCCCAGACTCTAGACTTCATGAAGCTTTGTTTGATTTGCTTGTGGAGGTGCTGCCGTGGAAGCAGACAATTCAGGTGTGCAATAGCAATCTCGTCATGTTGGTTATGCTACTCCTGTGACCACACGGAGACACGGACACTAGGTCCAAGCATGAAAGCAGTGAAGTGCACGGGGCTGGGAGTCAGACCGCCAGGGTGCGAATCCAGGCCACCTTGTTGGAAAAAGATGAGGGGAAGAAGGAGATAGCTGAATAAAGACAGATTAAATACTTTTCAGAACTTCAAGAAATGCTGTATTTACTTAGGTTCAAGTGTCAAAGTCATAAACAACATAGATAGATGGAAGAACTGTCCCAAATTAAAGGAGACTAAGAAGACATGGCAATTTAATGCAATGTGGGATCTTATTTCCAGAAAAGAAAAAAAAAGACACTAGTAGGACAATTAACACAGTCAAATAATGTTTGCAGATTAGATGAGCATGCTGGATCAAAGTTAACTTTCTGATTTTTATCACTGTATTGTGGTGAAGATGTTAACATTTGGGGAAGGGGAGTGAAGGGTGTATGGGGACCCTCTGGATTACTTCTGGAAGTTTTTTTGTAAGTCTGAAATTATTTTACAATTATGTTAAAAAGCAAAGTTTAAAATAAAGATACGTGTAAAAAACTGTTCTGTTATTAAAATTCAGCATACATGTCAAAAACCAAATAGTGAGGTTTGAGAAGTAGGGAGAAGCAGACTTTGCAGGGATCTGGCAGCCATGCTGAGGAGTTTGGGACTCTCGTCGTAGGGGCAATGAGAAACCCTAAAGGGTTTTAAGAAGAAAGAGGTTGGGTGTGGGCCCGTTTATCATGGAGGGTCCCAGCAGGAAACAGATGGGACCATCAAAATTTGAGATTTATTTACATGAGTCTATAAAAGTACGGGCAGAAAGAACCATCCAACTAAAGCCAACAGGTGAGTGGGTAGAAGAAAAGGAGATTTCGACTGACACAGAGCAGTTAGTCAGAGGGTGAAGTCATGCAAATGGAGGAGAATGTTGAAGGGACAGGGGTGCTTAACAATGTCAAATGAGAAAAATAAGAGCTGAAAACTGGATATAGTCACACGGTCAATTTGTGACTTTGGCAAGAACTGTTTCAACAAAGCAACGATAGAGAAAGGCAGACTAAAGTGCACTGAGAAGTGAGAAAGTGAGAAAAATGGGGACAATTCTTTTGATATATTCAGCTGTGTTGGGGAGGGAAAGATAGGATACTTCACTCCATAAGCCTTCCAATCTTCCACTGTGGAATCCACTGTAACAACAGGGACTCCTTTAACAAACCTCTAAGGCAACGCCATTCCAAAGAATGATTCTTTGTAGAGTCTTAAGCTTATCTACAAAATGACTGTTAACAAATCATAATCAAATCAAACAACATGTTAAGCCTCACTATCCAAATGGCACCTGCTTTCCAAATCCAAACATGATCTTCAAAATGTAGAAAGTTGCCTAAGATCACCACTACGAAGTATTGTCATTTCCATTTGAGGGCACTCAGGCATGATGTATGGGATAAACAATGTGACAACATTTCTAGCACCTCATACAAACTTCTAGACATAAATAAAAGAATTAAAGAGCATATTTTGTGATGTTTTGTCTTCAGGAAAAATATAAAGATACAAATATAGCAACGTTTTACATACCTGCATAACACTTATTTTCCTAAGAATATAGCAATTTAGGGAAAAATCAAAGCTTCAGTAACAACAATTATTTTCGATTCTAGTCTCCTAACCAGGCTAGTTTCTAGAATTCTGTTTCCAGAAGGTTCCTCCGGTTCAATGGGAGTTTTGCATTTGTGTGCTGGGTCCTATTGTTCCTTATGGGAGTTTTGGGAAAAACGAGACCACTTGCTTCTCTCTTGCCACCACTTGCCTGCTGTGTGACCCTTCCTGCCATCATTTGCTGCTACTTCTCAGTGCTGAGAGCTCTGCACTCCTAACACTCATAGTCCTTTGGGCCAACTTTCAAACCCAGTGTTGGCAGTTTTTATAATTATAGCTACACAGGGCAATCTGACTCCCCCACAGCACTAGGTGGACCAGGTCATTGCCCAGCTTCCCACAGCTGCTCCTTTCAGCCCAAAACAAGATCCCGGGCAAATTCACTTTCTTGCTCTCTCCAGCCTTGTTCTTGTCCCTTTTAAAACAAGTGTGCAATCTCTTTTGCTGGACTATCAGCCATAAAGTTTCCATCATTAATTCTTGCAAGGGACTCTCATGAACCCCAGGTCCTGAGGGAAAGTTTGCAGATTAAACTCCTGACCATAGCCCTAATTGTTAGATTACTACTTTTCAAAAGCAGGTAGTTCTCAAAATTAACATTTTCCACCTGGGCAATCCCCACTCTACAGATGCATTTTTTAAAATGTGTGGTGTCACTCTGACCAGTGTGGCTCTGTTGGCCGAGCCTTGTCTGGCAAAAGGAAAGGTCCCATTCCCGGTCAGGCACGTGCCTGTGTTGTGGCCCAGGTCCCCCACTGGGGGCATGCCAGAGGCAGCCCATGGATCTTTCTCTCACATACCGATGTTTCTCTCCTCTTTCTCCCTCCCTTCCCTTCTCTCTAAAAATAAACCAAATCTTTTTTTTTAAAAAAATGTGCAGTGTCTTTTTGAGACTATTTCCCCTGGAATTTGATTAAAATTGGCCTGAAAAATGAAATTAGATTATACACAGAGGCACACAATTTTCATATGTTCATTGCATAGGCAGTCAAGTGAAACACAGAAGTAGCCATTACTGAAGTAATCTAGTGATTACTGATAGATTTTCAGCACTTAATGTACACTTTCAATAACTGAAAGTTACAGCTTTTGTTTTAAAATAAATGCACTTTGTTTGAGGAATTGTTTTTTAATCAGTTCCATTACATGTTTCTTAGATTAATCTTTAATGCCAACTTTTTCTTCCTAACAGATAGAATGAGAAAGCTTTGTTTTGATAATAAAACTTTCAAAATTCAGACTAAGAATCAAACTTTTAAATGCAGACCAATGGGAGCTTCTAATTTTTTTTAAATATTTTATTTATTTTTAGAGAGAAGGGAGGGAGAAAGAAAGGAAGAGAAATATCAATGTGTGGTTGCCTCTAAAGCACCCCCTACCTGGCCCACAACCCAGGCATGTGCCCTGACTGGGAACTGAATCAGCAGTCCTTTGGTTTGCAAGCTGGCACTCAATCCACCTAACCACACCAGCTAGGTCAGAGCTCCTAATTTTTAGTGCCCTAATACACTTTCAACAAATGTCCTTACACAGCAATGGACTTCAGAAAGAGCCAGAGACTCACATAACTCAAGAGGCAAAAAATATATTTCAAGTCAACCCCTCTAATTGTAGGAGGCCATTCTGCGTGGCATGGGCCCAGCTCCCACTCAGAGATGCACAGGACCCATGCCCACAGATAGGTTCTCCTGTGAGGAATCAGGCCTGCAATATACCTAGGCCGCTATGAGTCTCGCTTTTTGCTAAAACTCCCTCACCCTGAATTGAGGACATTTACTGCAAAGTAACTTCTTAAAATCCATGCTAAACCTTCCAAGGATGAGTATAACCAGTTCAACAACTTTTGCCTTTTCATTTGCAAATATCCCTCTTCTGTGATGTGATTAGCAGCATTGGCTCCTTTGTTTTCTGTAAAAGGTAACCACCTAAATTGAACCTGTGCATAGTGAATGAGGACCATCATGTAATGGGCGGAGAAACCCAATAAGGCCAATTGTGGTGGAGGCCTCGGCTTTTGCTCCCCTTGAGAGAAAAGCCATGCTGTCCCCTTTCCTCTACAGGACTTGGTAGTCTGTGTGAATGTCTCATTTCATCCATAATGATTTGGACACTGGAGGCTGGTGTCTGCATCATCTAATTATAAAAATTAGTTGAAAAAGGAAATTTCCATAACAAAATTTTTAAACTGAGTTTTTAAAAATCCTTTCTACTTAAAAAAAAAGGCACCATAAAAACAGTTATGGAACTATATAGAGAAGTATGTCCAGCATAATCTGAATTTCTTGATTTTAATGTTTAAATCCAAATCCAGCACATATTTAACAATTCATTTGCTTTCCAGCAAACTAAAATGTAAAGGAAAAAATAGCCCTGACCAGATGGCTCAGTTGGTTGGAGCATCATCTCAAACACTGAAAGGTTGCGAGTTCAATCCCAGGTCTGTGCATGTACGGGAGGCAACCGGTCAATGTTACCTCTCACACTGATGTCTGTCTGTCTCTATCTATCCCTTTCTCTGTATCTCCACCTCTCTCCCCTTTTTCTCTTTTTGAAATTAATAAGCATATCTCCAGATGAGGATTAAAATAAATTAATTAATTCATTAAATAAAGGAAAAATATATTTTATCTTTGCAAATATAAGTGGTATAAAACTTTTTGGTTTTCATCAGTCAGAAGCATAACTGCCTTTAACCAAAACCAGATAAAAGAACACAGATAACAGATTCCTTTAAGTTAAAACCATATGATATAGCATATATGGATGGGCATATATGATGGAAAATATATGTACATAATCTGTAAAATAAGCAAAATAGGCACACCCTATATATATAACAAAGGCTGAGGAACATAAGCTCCTAAATCACACAATCCCTGGACAAAACTTTTTTATCCATAAAATAATCACCTACAAGTAGCTATTAGATGAAACAACAAAAACTTTTATCCAAGGTTTTTGGCCCTTTTTATTGACTTTCTTTTCTGCATAATCCTTTCTCAAAAATCAAATTGTGTATTTTTTGTATTTGTAAACATCAGGCTTTCAAACCATATCGCAACAGCCTTTTGCAACGATTCATTTCTTCAGCTCGTCATGCACAGCTGGGCTGGTGGAGGTGTCAGCTTGGCGGTCTTCTGTTTCCCCCTTTACAACAAACCCAGCAGGCACTGGGTGCTCCTGTTTCACGGCATGAGCTGCATAGTTAAGGCTGGTATTTTCACTCCAATGCCAATAACCTGAGAAGGGGTTGTAGATCATTCCCACCACAGTTTGAACTGACAGACCATCTGAAAACATATCACAAAGAGTAGATTTAAAAAATATTTGCCTCCCAAATGCCAAAAGTCTCATGCAATTCTCCATATTAAAAAAACATTCCTAATTCAATGGGCAAGAAATACTTTGTAAGCATGTGCTGATCATTCTTTACTGAAGCATAGGACATAAACTCTAAAGCCACCTGCTTGGGTTCAAATCCCAGCTCTGGAACCTATTAGGTGACCCTGGGCAAGTTGCTTCACCATTCTGAATTTCAGTTTTCTCACATGGACAGAATATTTATCCTGGAGTTATTAGAATTACATGAGATATATGTATAAAGTAGCACAGCACTTGGAATTTGGTAAGTACTCAATAAGCATTAGCTGTGTTTAGAAAATACTTGCCAACAAGTAATGGTTCCTATGAAGCATCTTCAAAACATTTTTTAACTCTATTTTCAACAAGGTGACTTGCAGAAGTCTTTAGAACTTACTACTGCATTGGGCTGATAATATTCCAAGTAAAATCATGTTTACTGATATACAGTTTTATGAACAAAAACCATGAGACATACATGAGCCTAAGTACTTAACAGGAATACCAAATGCCAAATAAATAAACTGATAAATGTTATTGCTTGACAGGAATTCAACACATAAATCCAATGTTAACAGTGAGTGCAGCCGAGCTAGGCATCACAAGGCGTACAATGAAGAGACATAGTTTGACTTCAAGAACCTTACAGGCCAGGAAGGGGCTTGAAGACACCAAATTAACCATTGTATGAGGCATGCTTTAAGTAGCATAAAATACATAAAACTTGACAAGGAAATTCAAAATATATCTGAGTATGGGGGGGATCCAAAAAAACAATACATGAGTGAAGCTGACACAAGGAGGGCTCAACGGGACAGACTCAGGGCATGTAAGTAATCCACATTTGCATCATCCTTAAATAAGTGAGAGCTAAACAGCCAAAAGGTATGCATGGGTCACCTATGATTTGCTTGGCCCTGGGCTAGGTGCCAAGGTGAGAGAGAGGCGGTTTCTAATATTTAACCCTCAGGTCAAGGAGTTTAAGATCCAGTTGAGGAGATGAAACAAACATCCAAAGAACTGTGGCCTCTTTAATTAAATGCTATGTTGTGTGATTAATAATTATAAGTGCATTGAAAGTTCAGGTAGGCCTTGAAAATTGGAAAAATTCTTAATACTCACTTGATTCCAGAATGCTCTCTAGATTTTCGGGTGAAACAAACTTCTCCCAGGTATGAGTACCTTTTGGTACAATGCCTGCAATCTGCTCTGAAAAAACAATTCCCAAGGCATAGGACAGCTGTGTTTTGTTGATTGTAGTGATGAATAAAGAACCGCCAGGCTAAAACACACATGTATAGAAGCAAAATTTTAAATGTCAAGAGCATCAGTTAGGTAAAGGCTTGGCTTCCCCCACCCTCCTCCTTCTTTCTGAATAATTTAAGTGTAGTTAAGATACATAAGTATGAATAAAATAAAATTTACCAAAACAGCATTTTTTTTCTCTTGGGAAATTCATTACTAAAGTCAATCCACTACTGATACACTCGCTGAGTTTATGCAACAGTGCTTACAACTCTTAAAATCATACATTACTATGACTTATATTTATAGTATATGCATTGCTTTGTACAGATCAAATGCTTTATAATAAAAGTATAGAAATGGGATCAGGCTGCTCTTCCTTGTATCCACATTTATGATTTAATATGTGTCCATGCTGTTTTCTCTTAGGTGCTGAGGCTGTCTCACTTCTTTGGTACAGCATACAGCTACACATGCAGGTGGGCGACACCAGTAGCTGTTCTTAGACAAAAACACTAATATTAAGGTTTGAAAATGTTTTGATTTCATTAGTATAAAGCAGGGATTTTCAACTGGTGTGCCTCAAGGATTTTTAAACCATGCAATACCTGGCTATTTAGTCTGGGGCACTGACCTCTTTTCCCTCAGATTGTCAAATAAAAAAATAACAATAACCAACACAACAATAGCCACCTGGTGTGAATAAATCAAAATTATTCTGATTTTTTGTCAGATTGGCAAAAGTTATATTTTTTGTTGTGCTGCAGAATATTAGTAATTAGTTTATGTTTGCCATGAGATAAAAAGGTAGAAAGAATATAAAGAGATCAAGATAATCATTTTAAATGACTACAAACCATTTATGCAGCTGTTCAGTCTGCCATTTTTTAGTGACTATATTTAGTATTTCCTATATTTATTCCCACAAATAGCAAGGGCATTAGCACCTCCTCCCTCTTTTACACATTCTCATTAGTCTAGTGAGGGTAAAATGCCAAAGAGACTCTGCAAAATAATCATATTACTACATACAGGGTGGGCAAAAGTAGATTTATAGTTGTTTGTATGGAAAATACTACAGTAATTAGTAAATAACAATAATACAGGAATAAACTCTGTGTTTTGCATACTCACAACTGTCAAGCTACTTTGGTCCCACCGTGTATGTGCATATATAGGACAGAGAGAAAGAATACATCTCAGATACCACCCCAAACCAAAACTAGGAAAGGGGAGGCCCTGAAATATTGCCAAGCATACTTAAACTAAACACTGGAATATCAAACACGATTTCATCACACATCGTAACTTTTCTCTACAAAACTCCAGTACTCTAAAATATCTTCTTAAAAATCACTTATGAGTCAATTATATCTCAATAGAGCTAGGAAAAAAATTGTTAAAAGTAGGGGAAACTAGGTGAAGCATATATGCAAACACTCTACAATTTTTTGCTGTTTTTTTATAAATCTAAAATTATTCAAAAGAAAAACCATTTTAAAAAATTCTCTTTAGGTAAGGACTAAGCATTGTATTCTTTTAGCTCTTGACCTTAGGGTGTTACCTCTTAAATATAAAAACAACAGAGTTATAGAGTAATAACAGCAATAATACTTTAGGGATATTTATTAGAAGAAAATTTGGAATCATTTTCAGAAGACTAAATCTGTGGCAAATTATATAAGGATAATAATGGGAAAAACAATATTTGGAATCAAAAGATGTAGCTTTAAACCCCACTGCGGTATCTAGTGACCTTTAACTTAAAAAACAAGTGACTTTTGACATCTCCCAAATTCTGATCTTCACTGGTCAAAGGAAGTCATCATAATGTTGGCCTTACCTTCCTAACCTGGTTGTAGGTCAGACCAGATGAGATCATATGCAGGAAGTATTCTTTTACAAGCTGAAAACTGTTATACATATCACCTACAGAGTACTTGACAAATGCTATCTAAGTCAATTTATGCTAATAATGATTTTTATTGATTTTAAAATATTAATCCAAATGAATTTTTCCTAGTTATTGTCATTCAATGTCTATTAGATATTTAATCTAGGCTATGCCAACAGGAAAATACCACTATAAATCTTTTGGATGTATTACAATGTTCAGCACCAACATTTTTCAAGCTCCCTGAACATCAAGACACCAGATATGGAAAACCCCAGTACTAAAGGCAACCTGAGAGGCAGATGTAATCCCCAGCAGAGATGCTGTTCCCTATTCATGGCTTCCTGGTTTCAAGTATTATGAAACATTGCTATGGCTACATATATACACTGAAAAGAAAAATCAAACAAGTAAACTCCATAAGTCTTACTTTTAACACTTGACAGCAGCACTGTATAAAAGTTTCCAGATCAACCACATGCTCTACAACTTCAGAAGCTACAACAGCATCAAACGTTTCTGCAGTCTCTTCCACAATCTCTTCTAGGGAACACGCTCTGTACTCTACCCTCTTATCCAGAACTGGATCAAATGACTTATGGTGCTGTGCTGTCTCAATGTTCTCATCCACAGGATCAATTCCAATAACTGAAGCCCCAAGCCGCCCTAGAGGCTAATGGTGTAAAAAAACTGTTACCCTCAGGAAGAAAATAGAATGTGTGTTAGCAATAAAAAGCTTATCAAAAGGCAACAAGATTAACCACGAGGGGATAATTACTGGAGATCGTTTATGGGTACAAGGAAATTTGATAAAGCATCTTCTCTAGTTTGTACACATATGAAAATTTCCATGATAAAAAGCTGAAAAGTGAGAGCAATAATCACAACAACAGAAAATTCATCAAGAACTACTTGAGAGTTGTAAAAAAAATGATTTATATTCTCCAGGTACATTTATTATGCACATAGTATTGACATGTTTAAAGTATAATAAGTGTAACATTATAAAAACAGCTGATTTTCTGATATTCAAATTGTCAAATTTTCTTGATAGCTTTTTCAGCAACCGACTAGGAATGATTGATTCTTCACAGCTAAGCCTTCTTTCAACTTTTATATTCAACCACTTCCCATGAAATGCCCAAGTTTTTAAACACGGTTTTAATATTTATCAAAACTCACATAGCATTTATTTTACAACTCTTTAGTTAAACTATTTTAACTTCAGAGACATAAGATTTGCAATAATACACTGAAAAGATTGTAGAACACATAACACATACAACAAAATCTTATTCATAATTTGATACATCACCTATTCTTGATTCTAAGAAATGTATTTTCACATATTTCATATTTCCTGAAATGTTATCATTGATATCAGAGAAACCAGCCCACTGCCATATAAAGAACATGCTTTTCGTGCATGTGGACACTTAGCTATGCATCAAACGCCTCTGGCAGCCTCACAACGTGCTCTCATGGACCTCAACAGCACCACACCCCGCTGAGCCCCCACTTACACTTATATCCTACACTGCGGCTTCAAGTACCTTTCAAAGATCAGATTATGGTGCAGCATTGAAACAAAAAGTTACTGTGTTGATAGAAGAATGCAAAATAAAGCTGCAGAGCATAAATTTACTATAAGCTAAAGCAAATCTTCACAGAGAGAATGGGCATTCTTCCAAGCACTCTAAAGCACCTGAGAAGGGAAAAGTTCCATAAGCAGGCAAAACTGTTAGGTTTTGATATTAACCAAAAGGGAAAAGAACAGCTTGTCATTGCATCTAAACCAGTGGAAATTGCCTAATCTCTTGGGGTAGAAGAGACAACAAAATTGCCAAAGTCATTATTCAAATGAGTAGTGCCTCATTTTTGTGTAGAAAAAAAAACCCTCGCTATAATTTTCTGAAATTTTTATATTTAAAAAATATATTACTTTTATAATCATAAATATTTTTAAAACATTAGGCATTTTAATAAACAATATTATTTGTTAAAAGGATAAATGAGGCATAAGCCCCCTTCTTAAACTTTTTTTCCCCGTTAAAAATGGCAGGAGAATTGTAAATCACTTACTTCAGTTAACAATCCACCACCACAGCCAACATCAAGAATCTTCATCCCAGACAAAGGTTTTCCTGGCTGGTGATTAGCAATTGTTTTTAAAAGATTGTCTCTTTTTAAAAAATTCAAAACATATAAAAATTATATCAATTAAGTCTTAAAATGTACAATTTTCAATAAAATATTTAACTCATTTTAAACCGATTAATGATTTGGGGGTAAACAGGTCTTTTATTTTCAGCATTAAATAGCTATGTTTATAGGATATTTTTAATTTATTGACTTGAGAGAGAGAGAGAAAGAGCAGGAGAGAACATGACAGAGCAAGAGAAGCATCAATTTGTTTTCCCACCTAACCGGGGACTGAACCCACAGTCTTGGTGTATCAGGACAACACTCTAACCAGCTGAGCACCCGAGCAGGACAAGATATTTTTAATAACCAAAAGCAGGAGGTTTAAAGTAAAACTCTTGAAGTAATCTAGCAATAATTATGACCTAATTATTTTAGTTAATCTAAAGAAAAACTTTTCAAGTAATCTCGTTTACATTAACCTAATCTATTTGCCTGAGATATCACGTCACCTACTAACTACACTGTCGGTACTGCTACACCCATTTCATGTCTGCGACAAACAGGGTACTTCACAGGGCTTAGAAGAAGCAGATTGGAGATCTGTATTTTCAGAATTTGCCTGTATTCCCTTCTAAATTGAGTTTCTTTTAATCTTCTAAATTAGTGGTATTATCAGGACCATGTAAACAGGCATCCAAATCAGGTGAACTTAATTCTAAGATAATCATAGCAATGCTTTACTACATGGGCAAACATAAGTGCACATACACACAGTATTGTGAATTAAACTTTTAAGTTGGACTGCATATGAATTCTCATTATACTTATTAACATAAATGTTATATACAATAAGGATATCTTAGGATATCTTTATTGTTATTAAAATTATTAACTTCTAAGAATAACCTAGATAGTGGTTAAGTAGATAACTTCGCAATGTTGTAACACATAGAAAGGACCCATTTCAGCCAAAACGACTCCTTTATATAATAATGTAGATAATATCACTCATCTTCGACGGCTTCCAATTATACTAAGAATTAAGTCTACACTTTCAAACATAACTCGTACTGCCTGGCTGATCTTTTTTACAGTGGTCTGTAAGAGATGGTGTCCCAGTAGTTTGAACAGAGCGGATTTCAAGCTGGAAGGATACTAGAATTATATGGAAGGTTTTCTAAAATCCCACATAGTCTGCAACCCCACAAAGCAATAGGTCCAGAGTGAGACCTGAGAATTCCGTATTTCTAACAAGTTCCCAAGTGGTACTGATGTTGTCAGTCCAGGGCCTACACCTTGAAAACCACTATCTAATCTAAAAACCGACATTTCACTTTCTCTTGGTCTTTCAGCGATCCACAAATTCAGTGGTAATAAAAGGTGCTAATTTCTCTGAGTCATTAAAATCCAATCAGGAGGTTCCTTGATATTCTGTGTCTATTACAGTGCTGTGCCCATGTCAGTTGCTTACAAATGTTTCATGATCAAATAAATGAACAAACGTAAGAATGAATGAACAATTTCTTGAAAAAGGGAATCTAATGAACCCTTCTTGCCTGTACCTCTGACAGTAAACTATAAGTTCCTGAAGTACATGACTATGTTTTGAATGATGAATGTCTCAGTAGCTTCTACAGTGTTTCGCCCCAAGTTCTGTACAAGGTAAGTTCTCGATAAATATTTGCCAATGAGTATTTGTTGAATTGAGCTATCTCCATAGTAGTTCCTTTATCAGGACTGCTTAAAAATCAAAGTTGCTATAAAATGACATTAATGCCATAGGGTCCTAATTCCTTTTCATAAGGATTTAATTCTAATTACCAGATTAGATGTCCAAAACTGCTTCAAGTTAATTTATAAAAGCAGCCTAAAAGTTGGATGATGTTATTTAAAAATTAATGGTTTCAAACAATGGACATTTGAGAGAATCTCTAATTTTTTTAAAGTGAACTTAAGCATGGCATTTTGAACTTAGGTATAAACCAAGAGAAAAATGAATGGAAAAAATCAATTATTAAAAAGACTTGCATTTTAAAAGACTTAGAATTTGTGTAGTATTACCTAATAAATGGCACCCTCAGGTCATTCATAGAATGAAGAGGTGCATATACTCCTTGCTCATCCCACCATTTGTGAGCCAGGGCCAGGAAGGTTTTTACCTCACTGCTATCTACAGTGGTTCGAGAAGTACTATATGGTCTTGTCCAAGGGTATCTAAGAGGTCAAAATAAAGAAACAGGCAAAAACTGGTGTTTTTACAAATGTAACATGAATATATTATATAGAAAGACATTCTAATTTACAATTTATTACATTCTAAGTTACATGTATTGCTCATTTTTGATGCTTCAAAACCAAGTTTCCTTATAATCACACTGCTTATAAATACACCTTTATTCACAGATGAAACAAAATTAATTTGCTTTCAAAGTTAAGTTACAATGAAAATGAAACTATAAAACTTGGCCTTCTGAGTCACATTTAATAGTAGCAGTAGTAGCAGCAGTAGCAGTAACCATTTATTGAGCATTTATTAGATGCCATTACTGTTTAAGAGCTCAACATATGTCATCTCATTTACTCTTCCTGGCAACTTTTTATAAGGTAGGTATGTGCTACTACTACTAACTCTATTACATAGATAAGAAAAGGGAAGCTCAGAGAGATTAAGTGGCAGAGCCAGGATTTGAACCCAGGTGCCCCATCTTCTCCTCCTCATGTCTACTGCCATCACCCTAGTCCAAGCTCCCATCATCTCTGGTTTGAATCATTATCCTAGCCTTCTGATTAGTTTGCCTGCTTCCTACCTCACCCTCCTCCAATCTGCTCTCCACAACCAGTTCAAACATGGCCTCTGAACTGACCACGTTTGCCCCTTCCTCAGGTACTTTGAATATGTTGTTGCCTCTCCCTGGAACAGTACTCTCACATTACTCCACCCCCCTTGTACACACTAATTCCTTCTCAACTTTTAGCTCTTAGATTGAATGGAACATCATCTAAGAAGTCTTCCCTGATTCTCCAAACTGGGTCATATTCCCCTAATTTAAGTCCCATACAACTTCATACTTTTTCATGGGGCTGTGTGATTATTTGATCCTGTCTCCCCACTTCACATAAGCACTCTGAGAGAAAGGCATGGACTGTCTTGCTCACCACTTTATACCTGGAACATTTCCTGGAACACAGCTGGTGCTCAGGAAACATTTGTCAATTGACTAATCTGAGGGAGGAGGCCCAGAAAAGTATATAATTCAATTAAAAAAAAGTTTTTTAATCAGATGGGATCAAACGGGGACTAAACAGGGATCAGACAGACAACTATACCAAGTTCCAGATCAAAGTACACGATAGGAAAATCCTCCACAGGTTCTTGGGTAAAAGAGAATAAGGTTGTTACGTTAAAATAGGTAGTGCCGTTCACATTTTTACTGTTTTTCTTAGCTACGTTCTACTGGGATTATTTATTATCCTTTTAAGAATTAAATGTCACTCTTTAATATTATCTTTTGAATATTACCCTCCTTTTACATGTTTCATGCAAAGGCTGAGTAATCAAGGACTAACTTACAATAGGTAACAGAAGATGGTTGCTCAGTTGACTATAATTATGATTTCACACACACCCAATCTTAAAAGAGCTAGCTCATTTACAAGTAAAAACATGCACTCATACTTTAACCCCATGGAATATTTTTTACAAGATTATAAATTTATAATAAGAATACAGAACGAAATTACTTTGACTCTATCTTGCTACCTTGTACACTTACTTATCCATCTTATTTATCATACTATTTTATTTATGTGGCACCCAAATCATTGATAATTTTAAGCACTGTATTATTTCTGTCCTCTCATAAAGATAACATGAGGAAGTAAAAAGTACTTCTCCAAATCACAGAGTCTTATATTAAAAATAAAAGCTGCCCTTAAATATGGATAAAGGGTATACTCTACACAGAGTATTACAATTTTTCTACACAGTATTACAATTTTCCTGTGGGTTTGAAATATTCCAAATTCAAAAGTTGCTGGAGAAATAAAAATATTTAGATAAAAAGTACCTTAATCAAATCACATGAGCTATTAAATACTGACAGTATTTATTAAACACAACCAATATCAAACTATTATTCACATAATTATGTAAATATTCACCACAGTAATGAATAAACTTACCTGTAACTTTTCATTGTATTCAAGCAGGCAAAATTCGTTCTATAGGATTTGAACCACATAATTCTGTATTCACTGAAAACCCATGGTTTCATTTGTAGAGTCCAACTGAACTGATTTGGTAAATAAACTGAAAAAAAAAATTAAATGTCTAGAGAAAGCACAGTATGAATTCCTAATATACTTGTACTTGAAGAAACTATTTTATATGGCAATCTTATATTACAATGATAAATAAAAGGGTTTATTCCTAATTTTGGATTTTATTCTAAATTGTAAAATATCTTGCATATTAGAATCATCTAATTCTAATCAGACATTTCTGAAACTGTAACTAGTAAAAATAAGTAATGCATCTGTAAAAGTTTTACATGCCATTAATTTTTCCTTCCACATTATGCTGCATAAAATTATTAAAAATGATATTCAAATTAAAAAACTATATTAACTTTCAAACTAGGGTAATATTGGTTATGAGATTATTTATCAAAACTAGTTCAAATTCTGTCACTTCCATTTAGCTACATGAAATGGACTTATATGTATGTTCAACACCCTTCACAAAAAAAAACTCATAAAAATCTTGAAATAACACTCATCCAGTCTGTATGTTCAAACTTACACAGCGACCTGCTTTACGAACTATTTACTCTGCTGCAGAACATTCAGTCATTCAATTTAAACAAAGTAAACCTTAGAGCAAAGAAAATCATCATGATCATTCCATTATGATAAAAAGGACAATCCACCAAGAAGATAAAGCAATACTAAGTGTGTATGTGGTAGACAACAGACTTTCAAAACACATGAAGCAAAAATGGAATTGAGAGAAAAAATAAATCTACAACCATAGCTGGAAACTTCAATATCTTTTCTCAGTGATTGACAGTACCACTAGACAGAAAATCAGCCAGAATACAAAAAAACTGAGTAACACAATCAACCAATAAGATCTCATTGAAATTTATAAAACATTCCATCCAAACAAAAACAAAATGTACATTCTTTTGAGTACGCATGGACCATTCATAATGATAGACCATATCCTGGGATATTGAACAAACCTTCACAACTACAAGATAAGTGAAATCATATGGACCACAGGTGGCAAACACAAGGCCTGCAGGCTGAATCCGGCCCTCCACTTTGTTTTACCCGGCCCATCACCTTGTTTCTACCTGGTGGCAGCACCAAGCTCTCACTTAACTGTTAAGGGGTAGTTACATTTATACAGTCCTAAAATTACATTCAGCCCTTTGAAAGCAACTGCAAGGCTGATGTGGCCCCTGGTGAAAATGAGTTTGACAACCCTGATATAGACTATGTTCTCTAACTGTAGTGGAATCAAACTAGAAATAAATAACACAAACATGAAAAGAAGAAACACTCAGAAATTAACACAATTCTAAACAATCCATGGGTCAAGGCATGTCTCAGGGAAACAAAACTGAAATAAATTAAAATACACAATATAAAAAGTCTGTGGACATAATTTAAGCAGTAGAGGGAAACTTACAGCACTAAATATGCATATTAGAAAAGAAGAAAGGTCTCAAGTCAACAATCTACCATAAGTTATTGTCTTAACAAACTAGAAGAAAAGTGAAATAAACCCAAAGCAATCAGATAAAAGAAAATAATAATAAAAGCAGAAATGAATAATATTTAAAATAAAACAGAATAGATCAAATAAATCAAGCCAAAAGTTAATTCCTCTCAAAGATCAATAAACTTAATAAGGTTCTAGCAAGGCTGATAAAGAAGAGAAGACCTATATTACCAATGTCAGGTATTAAAGAGGGGATAGCACTATGAACCCAAGAGACATAAACAGGATGATAAGGGAATACTAACAACTCTACACAGAATTTTCTGCAATTTAGACAAAATGGACTAATTCCATGAAAACCACAAACTATCAAAACCCATACAAGATGAAATAGGTAGCCTGAATAGTCCTATAACTAGCAAAGAAATTGAATTCATAGCTAAAACCTCCTGAAAAATACATCTCCAGGCTCAGATTGCTTCACTGGTGAATTCTTTCTACCAAACACTTAGAGAAGAAAATACAACCAATTTTACCCAATTTCTTCCAAGAAATAAAAGAGTGAGGAACACCTTCCAGCTCATTTTATTAAGCCAGCATTACTCTGACACAAAAAAAAACAGACAAAGATGAGACAGCAAAGAAAACTGCAGATCAATTTCTCTCATGAACAGACATAAAAATTCTCAGCAATCAATAAATATAATCCAGAAACATATAAAAAACACTATAGTACAACCACGTGGGACTTACTCCAGCTATGCTACGCTAGTTCCATATTAGAAAATCAATGTAACTTACATATTAATAATCAAAAGAAGAAAAATAACATGATTTTATTAACTGGTGTGGACAAAACATTTGACAAAACCACACTCATTTATGATGAAAAATTCTCAGCAAATTAAGAACAGAAGGGAAATTCTTCAATCTTTAGGGCATCCATAAAAATCCTATTGCTCACTTAGTACTTTCAAAACAGTGAGAGACTAAGTGCTCTACCCCTAACATCAGCACCAGGACAAGATGCCCATTCTCTTGATTCCTGTCCAACACAGTACTAAAAATCTTAGCAAGTACAATAAAGAAAAAAAGGAAATAAAAGGCATACAGAATAGAAAGGGAGAAATTAAACTGTCCTCATTTAAAAATAAAATAAAAGCTCTCGGAACTATTATGTGAGTTCAGCAAGGTCAGATTATAAGATCAACACACAAAAAAGTCAATTTTTTCCTATCTACTACTAACAATAAACAATTGGAAAGTAAAACTGAAAATGCTATACCATTTAAAATCAGTCCAGAAAAGAATGAATTACTTTCATTGTTGTATAAATCTAACAAAACAAGTACAGGGTCTATATGCTGAAAATTGACATAAAACACTGATAAAAGAAATCGAAAACCACTTTAACAAAATCCCAATAGCCTCTTTTTTGTAGACATAAACAAGCTAATTCTAAAATTTGTATGAAATGGCAGAAGAAATACAATAGCTAAAACAATATTAAAGAATTATAAAATTGCAGGAATCACAGCACCCAATTTTAAGACTGACCATAGAACTACAGTAATGAAGACAGTGTGCTACTGGAGGGGGACAAACACAGTTCAATGTAGCAGAAGAGAGTCCAGAGGTAAAGAAAGAAAAAAATTCACTCAACTGTTTTTTTTCAACAATGGTGCAAAAACAGTTAAATGCAGGAGAAACAGTCTTCTCAATAAATGATGTTGAAACAATTGGACAAAGAAAACTTCAACCTAAATTTCATATCTTATACAAAAATGAACTTGAAATGGATAATTGACCTGAATGCAAACCTATAAAGCTTTTAGATGAAAATATAGAAGATCTTCGAGACTTAGGGTTAGGCTAGGGTTTTTACATCTCACACCAAAAGCACAATCCTTTTATAAAAAGTGATTAAATTAAACTTAATCAAAAATAAAAATTTTTGCTCTGAAAAAGACCCTATTAAGAAAAAGAAAAGTAACAGACTGGCAGGAAATATTTCCAGAACACATGTCCCACAAAGGACTTCTATCTGGAATAGGTGAGGTTATTCTTTGAACTCAACAGTATGAAGCAAAACACAACTCCCATGTTTTTAAAAAAGCAATCCAATTATAAATGGACATGAACATACATTTCATCAAAGAGGATATACAAATGCAAATAAGCACATGAAGCAATGTTACATATCAATAGCCATTAGAGGAATACAAAGGAAAGCTTCTATATACCTATTACAATGGCTAAAATTTAACCACCCTGATATTACCAAGTGTGAACCAGGTAATGAGGCAAGTATATCTTTTATATATTGCTGGTGGAAATGTAAATGGTATAGACACCATGGAAATCAGTTTAGTAATTTTTCGTAAGGTTAAACATACATTTATCACACAACCCAGCATTTGCAACACTAGGCACTTATCCCAGAGAAGTAAAAGCTATGTCCAGACAGAAATCTGTATAAAAATGGTCATAGTAAGTTTATTCATAATAGTCAAAAACTGGAAACACCTAAAATACACTATAATAGGTGACGGGTTAAAGAAACCATTGTGGTATATCTGCATTGTGAAATACAACACAGAAATAAAAAGGAATGAAGTATTGCTACACACAGTTTGGATAAATTTCAAGCGTATTTATGCTGAGTGGGGAACAAAAACAATTTCAGAAGGTACATACTGTATCATGGTTGATTCCATGTTGAAATGGCAATGTTCTATTAATGAAGAACAGATCAGTGACTGCCAAGGGTTAAGGCTGGGGTTAGGATCTGACCGTAGAAAAGTAGTACCTGGTAATTTCTCCGTGATTATGGAGAAGTTCCATATCCTGATTGTAGTAGTTGTTATACAAACCTCTACATGTGGTCACACACACATGTACAGAGTGCATGTAATGGTGGTAAAATCCAAACTAGGTCTGTAGTTTAGTTAATAGTATTTATTATACTACTGTCAATTTCCTGGTTTTGACAATGTACTATGTACGGTTAATAAGATGTTATCACTAAGGAATTGGTGAAGGGCATATGGAAATTCTCTGTACTATTTTTGCAACTTATCTTAAATTATGAAAAAAATTTAATTAATTAAAAAGTACAAGGGGCTCACTACAAAGCTCTCTGACTCCTGACTCTAGTCATCCAGTTTTCCTCTTTGGAGGCAACCAGTGTTACTAGATTTGTATGTAAGCTTCTAGAGATATTTTATACATATGCCTCTTTTGTATATCAGTTTCTCTCCTATCTTCTTCAAAATGTAGCACAGTATACATTCTTCTGTACCTTAAGTTTTTCACCAATGCATCTTTTTTAAAAAAATATTTTATTTATTTATTTTTAGAGAGGGAAGGGATGGAGAAAGAGAGTGAGAAACATCAATGTGTGGTCGCTGGGGGCCGTGGCCTGCATCCCAGGCGTCTGCCCTGACTGGGAATCGAACCTGCAATGCTTTGGTTCACAGCCTGTGCTGATTCCACTGAGCTACACCAGCCAGGGCTTACCAATGCATCTTAAAAGATTTTTTCATAACAGAACATAAGGAGCTTCCTTTTATAGGGCTGCA